TTTGGATGAAAATAAAACAAAAACTTTTAAGAGAGGATTTATTTTGAGATGAAGTACAATCTACAACCTCTTCTTGGGTGCCTCTCACCAGAAATAATTTTTCCCAGAAAATGATACCACGTTTAAATTGGTTTCTGTTCAGTCCTTGAAATTTGGAAAATGACGCTTAAGTCTTTGATATTTAAGAAATGATTCTAAATGGTCCTTGTAAATATTGATAACCATAGAAGAAATTTGAAGAAAGGGAAGCAATTACTGAAAGTGGTCAATGCCAATGTAAATAACAAAGGACTTAGAGGGAATGGGTTCAAACCATGGTGGCCACCTACCTAGGATTTAATATTCTACGAGTTTCCTTGTCAACCAAATGTAGTAGGATCAGGTGGTTGGCCCGTAAATAGTCGAGGTGTGCGTAAGCTGACCCGGACACACGGATATCCAAAAATAAAAAATAAAAAAATAATAAGAATAAAATAAAAAATAAAATTACTGGAAGGTAATCTGGTAACAAAAGTCTATGTATAAAGGATTCAAAGTATAAAGTATCAATCTATAATCTGAAAAACAGTTCTTAATGGAGGACAAATGTCCCATAACCAGCATTACTGCCATAAGCATCACATATACTAAAGTATGCAGAAATTTATCAAGTTATCAACTAGTGGAGAGCCTGAAATCTTACAATGAGAAAATGCAGCAGCTGCAGAAAGAAGTGCAGCATCAAAAAGAGATCCATCGGCATCCAAACAATAAATATCCTGTGGAACACATTTCAAGTTGCTATCTCATCAAAAACTATTAACTGCAATAATGAACTGCAATCTAGCCAAAAATCATGTTATAAAGAGAAAATGTCCAGTATGAGTAAGGATAGCACAAGTACAAATTTCAGGGAAAAAATATAAAGATAAACCAGTAGTGGACCTTACTTCAAATACCAAAATACTTCTAGACTCAAGAAAATGTAGATATTAACAATGCATAAATTTGAAGTACATACCAGGTATGCCATCCAAGCAGCTTTTCCTTTAACAAGAGATAATTCTCTCAGATCAATCATCCCAGAACTGAAAAGGTCACATACATCATCAGTTTCTTAATTAGGCAGTCAAATACTTTAGATTCAAATGAAATTGACTTTTAGGACAAGGATAAGAGATCAGAAAATAAAATAAAAACATATAAAAAAGAGTGTGTTGCATCCTTTTCACCAAATCTCCCTTAAACAGCATGAAGTTTTTAGGATCACATATAAAGAGCATGAAAAGGGCCGTGGACAGAACAACAACAGAATATTGAAAATCCATCCAACAAAACCAAACAAAGTGTAAGGATACTCCTTACTAATTCTTGGAATTCAAAGACAAAACACCAAAACATCAACACAGTACACACCGACGGCCAATTCGAGAGGGCCGGAAACTCTCCCTACAGTTCAACTGAGCATACACAATACACAAGACCCCTAACTCCCACTAACTTCCTACTTTTATCCCATAACACGTTCTCCCCTTCACTCATAACACGTTCTCCCCTTCACTCCATAACTAACTTGATGATGAATTTCCCCCTTTACCCTTCCTAGCATAGACATTTACAATTGGAGGTCTAACACAAAGCTACAAAAAAATCCATCCTCCAATTCGCAGAAATAAAAAAGGAGAACGAGTACGGAAGAGTTTTGATCTAGAGCATCATAAAAAAACACTAAAATTGAATCACTTGTTTCTCTTTTTTGTTTTTTTTTTTTCAAAAAGAAACTATTTCATTGATAACATGAAATATGAATACAAAAGGGGATAGACCCGAGAGTGGGCTACAAAAGACAATCACTTGTTTCTCTTTCGCCTCAGAAAAGCCTCTCGATTCTTTCAAGCCAGACTTTCTACAATATAGCAAGATCTTTGTCTTTCCTCTTAAAAGGAGCATAAAGTAATTGAGAAAAAGTAGAAGCGGCCTCTTCAAGAAAACACCAAAACAGCCCACACTCTTTCAACACCAATTTCCAAATCTCTTTAGTAAATTTACGTTAAAGAAAAATATGGTTGAGATCGACGCCCATAGGAAAGGACCGACCAAGAGGCATAAAACCGAAGAAGAAAAGTCCACTAGAAGAATGTAACTTTCTTTGGGCTTCTGCTCTTCCAAATCAGTTTGTTGTAGTCTTACTTTGGGATTCCTAGCCACTGGCTAATTTATTGAAGGATTTGATAGTGAAGTTGCTTGAAATTTCCAAGGATCCAATAGTTATAAGAGTTTGGGAGGTTTGGAGATATCCCAGACATCCTAGTTTCAAGCACCCTGTTTGAAGACTTGATAATTTAACATCCTTGTTCTGGGTTAGTGGGGGATGAGCATAACACAAGGAGTGGGCTCCCCATACCCATACTATAACTAAATAAATAGAAGAAAACTAAAAGTGAAGTTTCTTGACCGAGACCATTGCAAAATAATGAATATCATCCTCCTCCCTAAGAACCACATAATTCAAAACATCCATCAGGGAGATCCACTCTCAATGTCTCTGAAATTCTTTCTAAAGTTAAGTAACCAAGAGTTTTGCTCACCGTTCTAGCCTTGCAAAAGATTCATGTCTTTGCTGTTAGCCAGTTAGCCAGTGCATAAAGGCAAGAAAAGGTCAATCGAAGGGGATCCCTATTATGCCATTTTCCCTCCCTAAAACGCATAAATTTGTCATTGCTAATTTTGTAAACAGCATGAGAGAAAAAGTTTTTTTAGTCTAGAAAAGCTAGGTTGGGAGTACTATTGGTTGGGAGATTCCCCTCTTGCCTCTCTTTTCCCTTGGTTAGCCATTTGTCTTCTATGAAGGGTTGTTCAGTGGCCTCAATCACTTCTCTCTCTTGGGTGCCCTTCACTTAACTTGGATTTTTGTCGTTCTTTGATAAGTATGTTGTTGATATCACGTCTTTACTTTGCTTTATTCAATTTTTATGGTTCTAGCGAGGGACGGTCGTTTTTGGTCCCCTGGGGTTTTCTTGTAAGTCTCCCTTTGTTTAGGAAGTCTCTCGAGCCATTTAGTCATGGGAGCAATATTTCCACTTCTTAAGTTTCCAATCCCCAAGCCACCAATAGCAAAGGGGAGGCAAGTTGTTTTCCAATTCACCAAATGGTTGCCTTCCCCATTATTGCTATCCAATTCCAAATAAAGTCTCCAATGATCTTTTCTATAATATTAACAAATCTTGCTAGTCATTTTGAAGAGAGATGATATAAGGGAACGGAGAAGAGTACTAATTGAACAAGAGATAATGCTACTCCCCAAGAGAGAAGTATTTCTCCTTAATTTATCTATGACCGAATCCCAAAAGTCTTGAAAGTTCATATTTCCCCAGAGGCATTCCCATGTCAGGTACAAGACAGCCCACTCCACAAGAAAACAAGTTAGATACCTCTAGGATTCTATTCTCATTGCGATGAATACCAACCGCTAAGGAGGTTAACCTTTAATCCCAAAGCCATCCCAAACATTTCAATAGTATTCAAAAGGTTTTCTAAAGTTTGATTGTCATTCACACTTACTAAAAGAATATCATCACGTAAGATTGCAAAAAAGGTGAAACTGTACCTTGAAATGGTGTCAGATAACTGCTTTGAAATCACAGGTGCGGCTTCAGCTGGTCTCCCAGGCCTAACAATCGGAGAGCATATTGGGGGCATATGGAAATCAATAGCTGGAAAAAAAAAAACAGACCCAATATCACCTAGATATATAGGATGTTATTGTAAAGATAATGAAGAACAAGGACCAAAAATATCTAGAAGCTGACAATGGCCAACCTATGCAACCCTCATCCGGTGACTCTATGGAAGGCGTCATTACTTCCATTTTAATAGCAGCCAACATTGTCTGAAATGATATAGAACAAACTATCACAAAATCTAATCATTCTCATACAGGCATGAGCTGCTCTAGCATAAAGACGTGCGTGGAGGCACTTACCGTAGAACCAATCTTAGCCAGGGCAGAACCATTTGCAGATGATACAGGCCCTTAATAAACAAAAACGATATCCAAATTCAGTTTTGAGTATGAAAATCATTCAAGCAAACACGATGATGATAAAAAAAAAGTTGGAAATAATCGTAATAGCAATTTTCTGAAAATCAAAGGTTACAGACTAACCAAGAGCAATGGTTGTATCTCTAGCTTTCCCCAGTGCTCTTCCATCAGGACGTATCGATTCAGCGAAATGACGCTCATAAAACTGAAGTGGGAAGAGTCGTCTAAAAGCATCAACCTCCATCTCCGACGACAAATCCCCAGAAGCAGCATTCGGCAATCCCATTGTTTGTGCTCTTGTCTGATTCCAGCAATTACCCTAGACTAATTTCATGAAAGAAATTGAGATGAAGCTTTACCAGCAAGTTGTGGAACTCAATACACTGGTTATTTCTTGCTCTCTCTCTAACAGTTAACCATGCGATCCTGTGTGTATACGTTCTGCACTTCTTTATCTGTATCTTTTCTCTGATACGAAACCCGCCGGCGGGCTTCAGTTGTGGTGGCCTACGGCGGCGATTGGCGGCGATTTTGAGGGAGATGAATGCGGCGGCCGCGGAGGAGGACACGGCATGAAATGGAAACAGCGAGCGGGTTCTGCTACTGGTGGAACGAGTCTATTGGAATGGAAGAAAATCCGAGCGATTTGGGGTCTTTGGAGAACCGTCGCATGAACCGGTTCGACCGGTCCAACAATATACGTTCAGACCGGGGATACCCTTTTTATTTTTGAATTTCGAAATATCCATTTTCTTTTTCTTTTTTTTTATAAGATCGAAATATCCATTTTCGCTTTTTAATTCAGAAAAAATAATAATATTGGTTACCTTTATTTTATATTAACATATTAGCGTGAAGATGTATTTAAATCAAATATGTCGGATATAAACGAATATTACGGTACGCTGTTTTTTCTGTCGAGATTATGAAACAAATGGATTTAGTTAATATCTGTGAAATTTGTTTTTGAGAACTATTTTTCTATTCCATAATTGAAATTCTAAAAACAACAATTTTGGGTAGTGTTTTAAGATTTTAAATTTGAAACTTTGAAATGTATAACTACATTGAAAAGAGGTTTAAATTTTTTTTATTAATATATTATTTCATGCAATAATTTTTTTTATTTTTTTAAAATTTAAAGCTTATAAAACATAATATATCATAAATTATATAATATTATAAAATTGTAATTATACAAAATTTATAACATATATGTTAATAAGTTAATTAATAATATTTTAAATTGAAATAAATATTTTGTTGGTAACTAAAGTATATTACTAAACAAATTTAAATTTGAAATTACAAATCAAAGAAGAAGTGAAATATGGGCTATTTTCTGAATTTATGAGGGCGAAGTTTCGTGTACCTTAATGCATATGATCTCATGCATCATTAATGTAGATATGGTTGAAGTCATTGTTTGTGAAAGTTTGTAGCTCAGTGGAAGTAGAAACAAACTTTGGTTGAATGCACACAATGTTAGTTCTGCAAAATATTGATTGTCTAGAGGCAAAATATTGATTGTCTAGAGGTAAGACTCATACTTTGGGAAATTCTTCCATTGTCTCGCTAATTTTCCTCACTTTCATTCTTGCTTTGCAAATGAGAGGGAAGTCGTGTAGCCACGAACTAGTAAAAATGGTGGTAGAAACAAAAAAGGAAGGAATCTGGTTGAAGGATCTATCACTGGGTGTTTCAGGTGAAATTTCTCGATTGGTGCATAAGCCTAGGTGTAACTATGGTAGTTTATCATTTGTTTTATGCTTTATTGTTCAAGCAGCAATATTAAATGAATTAGCAAGATAATACTAAGTTTATATATCATTTTTGCACTCAATTTTAGACGAAGATTGAACTCACAACCTCTTAATTGGAGATAGTTGTAAATATGTAAAACAAATGTAAGGGTCATGATTATTATATTTTGATCGTGCAGTGAAATCTACTAAGCAAAGATTATTATCATGGTTATAGTATTTTGATCGTGCAGTGAAATCTACTAAGCAAAGATTGTTATCATGGTTATAGTATTTTGATCGTGCAATGAAATGTTACTAAAGAAACATTGCAATCATGGTTATAATATTTTGATATGTGTAAATAAATTAATCATAAGTTTATGTTGGTATCTCCAAGTGTACATCAATGATACTATGATTTTATAGAACATCTCTTGATGAAATCTATAAATCATTGACCTATACATATGTTTCCAAATCTTTTTACATGGCAAATATAGAGTGAGGATTAAGTTTCTATTTTTTTATTATATATTTTTCAATTTCATCAATCACCCAAAACTTAATCAATTTACTAAAAATAAAAAATAGACACTGTCTGTTATTTATTTAATTAAGAAAAAACAATTAAAATGATTTGGTTTTAAGAAAATTAATTCGAACCTACAACCAAATCAATTTAAACAAATAAGAATCTAAACCATATCTTACTCTAACAACGGTGGCACTCGTGGAAGCAAGACGCGACATCGTTTCCTCAAAACACCACGCCGCATGGAGCCGATGAACCATCACGACAACAACTCCGGCGGAGGCGGAGGCGGAGGCGGCGGCGGTAATTCCTCCTCCTCCTCAGCGCCGCCGCGGCGGTCAATTTGCCCTAATTGCTCCAGGCCGGAACCAGTATGCCTCTGCAAATTCTTACCGTCTCCACCAATCGCAACCAGAACCAAAATCATTATCCTCCAGCATCCTCACGAGGCTCGCCACAAGCTCTCCACCACACCAGTCCTCGGGAAGTGCCTCCTCAACGCCACCACCATCGTCGGCCGCCGCCTCCGGCCAGGCCTCTCCGAACTCCTCGACCAGTCGCCTCCCGCCGTCTACCTCTTCCCGCCGTCCGCCGCCTCTCCAGCCGTCGACATATCGAGCCTCGACTCCTCGTCTCCGATCCGGCGCGGAGATTCCGATCTGGTCCTCATCGCGTTCGACGGAACGTGGAAGCACGCGAAGGAGATGGTGCGGTCGAGCGAGGAGTTCCTGTCGAAGTTCGCGACGAGAGTTTGCCTGGATTCCGACGATAATGTGGACGGCGGAAGCATCTACGATTCGGAGCTGATTCTGAGGAAGGAGCCGCACGGCGGCTGCGTGAGCACGATGGAGGCGGTGGCGCGGTGTTTGGGAGCGGTGGAATCGAACGGGGCGGAGATTGAGAGGAGATTGATCGGAGTTTTGAGGGAAATGGTTAGGTTTCAGGCCGGCTACGTGAAGCCCATGAACCCTAGGCCCAAATTGAAGAACAGCAAGAACAAGAAGAAGAACAAGGAGAATGAAATTGCATGAATATTAATATACTTATATTGTTCCTATCATTTTTTCTAAGGTTAAATTATGAATTTCATCTCATTTGACCCTAACCACACTTTACATATTCTATTGCTTCGATATTTATTTGATTAAATCTCATAAATTATTTTATCGTATATTGTTGGATAACATTTGTGCTTCTTATTTTTTCTTTTTTCGTAATAAATATCGTATATTGTTGGATAATGCTTCTTGTTTTTTCTTTTTTCGTAATAAATAAAAATAGTAACTATTTATTTATATTTTTCTGTTTATTATTAAAATAAAGGAATTTTTGGTTATAATATTTTAAATTAAAAAAATCAAATATATTTTTAATTAGATATTGAAAATTTTTATGTTTTATTTATTTTTTAGTATTTATTATACATTTTATTAGTGGAGAATGCTAAAATAATGTATTTATGTTTAGGAAAAAAAACTTAAAATAGAAAACTAAACAAGAAAAAATTTAATTGTGCTATTTCCAAAATTTATATACAATTTTACAAATGTTTCTTAAAGATGAATAGTTACCAAAACACTTCTTTCATTTATGTATTTTTTCTACAAAATTGTAAACAATAAATCAAAACATTATCAAACTGTTTTCCTTACACCGAAGAGTCCACCTATTTTTCTTTAATATTTACTGTGCACTAAACTCTAATACATTCCAACTTGATTATAACGTATTTGTAATATATTAAAGTAGTTTGGGTCAAAACAAAAAATAAATCTAGGTCATTTTTTAATGAAATAAACTTTTTAAATAGTATTAATAATTGCATATAGATTGTATACCTTTAGAAAGATGGGATTCTACATTTTTATACAGGAGCTCTAACTTTTCGCTAGTGGTATCTCATATTTCTAGTTGGAGTCGAGCTTGTGTATCTTTTAGATCAGCGATCATATGATTTGGCCAGTCCTATTTCGTTTTTTTACGTGACCAAGCTAAGACTCAGAAACGTTTCTTGAACGGATGGTCTACGTGACATGCCTAGAACATATCTTAACAGAGCTTGTGCCCGCTAATCTTAATTAGAACTAGTGGGTTAAACTTTTGAACTCCAAACTTAGAGAAAATCTACAAACATTCCAAACTTTTACCACCAATACCATTCTTTAGGGCTATTTGAAGATAAACTCATTCACTAAAGCGAAATAGTTTACTTGAATGGACCAACATAGGAAAGTGGAGACAAAAGCTTGTTTGTGGGGACTCTCCCTAGAAAGAAGAAAACTTTCAAAAGAGACTTTTAGTATTTGCATGCAAATGATATCTTGCACTCAAAATCTTTTGACAAACTTGTCCTCCAATTCTCTTTTGAAAAAAAAAAAACAAAATTTTCTTTTTGCTGTATTTAAAATTACTATAAAAAAACTACTATGCTCAACAAATTTTCTATAAAACAAATTTAATTTTTATTTATCAAAACACAAAAATTATTTTTTAAACATAGCATCTAAAGAGTATTTAAGGCCAATACAATATTTATCGTCTATTTGATCGTTAAATTTATATGACCCACCATAAATGATGCGGTTCATATGTCAACCATGCATGAAGTAGTGCAAGGCGGCACGTGTGCATATAAAGGTTTCAAATTTTCACTTTATCTTGGGCAAATAAGTTATATGAGGTAGTAAGACCCTTACTCAATGGATAATAATCCTAAATAATTTTAACGATGACTATTATTAGCAAACAATATCCTTTAATTTTTCTTCATGTAATGTTATCGCTAAGCCACAAAGGTCAGAATGGAAACCAACTCGTCATGGTCGAGCGGCGCACTGAAAAGGATTCAAGCATACTGAAAACAGGATCGAGCGCTCCTACGAATCTCGTACAAAGGATAGCCAGTAGACATAGCGCTAATACCCTATACCTAAATCGCGCCTCTAGAGGACCACTCAGAACGCCGCCAAGTCTTGCACAAAGTTGGGAAATAGAGGATGTTGATGGTCCCCGCAAACCCTTGGCACGACATACCTCTCTCTGGACGCACAAGCGAGTGGAGACCTCCCACTAAAACCCTCTCCATCTCTAGATATAAGGAAGTAGCTAGGCAACCCTAATCAAATAAGCTAGATTTCCCTACACAATTCCTTGTGAAGATTCATGACTCTCACACTTGAGATTCATACTTTCTTATTCTTTCTACTCTATATACGTTTACCCCTACTTGAGTTCTAATTTAAGCATTTGAGTGCATTAGACAAAGCTTTCTTATTGTTCTAATGTTTTTTTTTTTCTTTCTATGATGAGGTAAATTTCAATTTGAACCTTATGTGGATGTCATAGCCTAAATTTCTAAAATAAATACAATTGTCGAGGGAGCAGAGTGTTGAGCGCTCCATTGATTAGCTTTGCCTGATTTGACTTTTAAACTTATTCTTGAATTTGAAGTAATCTGACTAGTTTTAGCCTAATACTAAAAAGGTTAGGGTAAAATAAATTTCGTCAAGTTAAAATAGGAAGTAGCTTACGACATAAAAGTACTAAAACAAAACTCTTTAACATACAACCTCTTACCCATTAAACAAGAATTGGTTGTTTGTTTTACTTAGGATTCCAATGGCCGTTCATAAACCTATGTTATAGTTAGCCTAATCTCCTAAACAACTAAAAGAAATATTGAATAGGAGTTTAGCCTAGTTTGCAATATGTTGCGTTAAGTGTGTATCAAGCATTCTTTGATATTGTGTATGATTAATTTGTGGTTAATTAAACAGTAGCAACAAGGTTAGTCTTTTATAATAATTAATTTTCAGTGAACCAAAGTTATATTTCAAAAACCACCAATATTTTTATCACCTAAAATCAATTGCATCACTTGAATAAATCACAAACTAATTAAGAAACTTTAAGTCTACGTGGAGACGAACTTGAAATGCGATTTTTTGTATTACACAGCATGTGGTTGCTCTCCAACCCTCTTCTAATAAGGTAGAGGCACGAGAATAATAAATTAGTTCATAATTATTTTTGAAGAATTACCTCAAAAAATAATGGATCAAAGATCATTTTAGAAGGCCTCTCAAGGGATGTGTCCCACCATAAAGAAAAGTTGACGTTTGAGAATTGTGGGGGAAAAGGACAATTGCTTGAGGCTTCCAAACACAAGAGATTTATTGAACAAAAAATGGCATGGTCAATCTTGGATAGGATGGGGCCAACCCCACGAGGAAGAAAGCAACCCTTGGCTTGACATGTTATAATCATCACTAGACCCCACTTTCATCACTCTTGTCAAAAAGGAAAAAAAAAATATTTCTCGAACGGTTGATCCTGTTAGATAACGTTAATGTTTCTTATTTCTCGTTTCTTCTTTTTCAATACAGAGAAATAGAATTACATTGACTAACTATTTTTATTTCTTATTCTTTCTTTTTTAGATAACTTTTGTTTACTATTTCTTTTTAATCTTTAAATTAAAAAAAGTTTTATATAAAAATAAAATTTCAAATTAAAAATATTCGAATTTTTTATGTTACATATATGTATTTAATATGTATTATGCATTTTATGAGTCAAAACTAACAAAATTTAAAGCTCCCTCCTTCATTCATTTCGTAATAGAAGAAGATTTTGGCAGCGGCGTGCAAAGGCCGTCGGAGGTTGGCAGGCGACGATAGTGATAGCTAGTGAAGATGGAGACGGGAGCCGACAGCAAGAAGTGAACTTCAACGAAAGAACGGAAAAAGAAGAAAAGGGAAAGGAAATGAGATAATTTGCCAAAAAAAAAGTCCAATCATAAAAAAATATATATATTATTAAATTAATATATTTTGTCAAATTAGTAAAGTGCAGGTAGTAATTTAAGACACGTTAGAGGTCAAGTAAAACGATTATTTAGAATTATTTTCTAAATTTAAGAGATTAAAAATGTCTCTCTTAAAACTTGAGAGACAAAATAGAAATTAATTTCAAAAGTATATTTCGCCTAATATCTCATAGGCAATTACCCTTTTTTTAAGCACTATATGTGTAACTATTTAGAATTTGAAGTTACCATCGAAATTTCCATTATTTATGTGTATCAAATACAACTTATAAATGTGTGCATAAAGTTAATAGAGCTAATTACGAATTTACTTTTAGTTTTCAATTAAAAAAATTAAGTGTGTGTTTGTCGTTTGGAAAAACAAGTGATTGAATAAAAGACAGAGTTGTATTTTTTATTTTTAACGTTTTTAGATATATACTTTAAAAAATTGTTCAACATGTGTTTAGTAATATATTGGTAATCTAGCAGTGGTTACCAATTAAATATTTAGTTTAATCTAAAATAATATTAATTAATTTATTAAAATTTTGTAGGAATTTTGTATAATTATTATTTTACAACGTTATATAGTTTATAATATATTATATTTTACATGTTTTAATTTTGATAAAAATAAATTGAGTTTATAACATGAAATAATATAATTTTGATCTTTTTAATGCAGTGCATCTTAAAATTTCAAATTCTAATTTCGAAAACACTTCAAACATGAAAATGTTATTTTTGGATTCATTACCATTTATTTGTATACCATAAGTATAAAAATAAGACACATTTAACCAAAAATTAGAGAGAAAGAGAGTCCTATAGATGTGGGACCACCCTACCACCCTTAGAAGAAGGGCAAAGTTTATCACTTCAGACCTCGTCCATATCCTGGACGAGGTCTACTTGACAACACCAAAGTGACAACCCTTGCCATCCTCGTCCTACAACGACTTGAGAACTAAAGCATATTATCTAAGTCGGCCTAATCTGGGTCTATGGTTTCACACTTAGATATATGCATGATTTTATAGCTCGTCTTAAGATACCATCGAAATCTACTGACTTGAACATCAGATTGTAATCGACAAAGCCCCATATCGGAACTTAGTATTCCCTTGCACGTTTTGCTAAACACTTCAAAATACTCTCGTAATTAACCCACTTTGAGACTAGATTATTTTTCACGCAAAATAACAATTACCAATGCTTTAGGATTGCAATCAAGGGGGAAATGAATATCATGTCATGTCCTCATGGAGAGAAACTTATTAGGATGATTTATCCCTCAAATATTTGAATTGTGTATAA